ATGCCCCTCTAATTTTTTTTTTTTTTTTTTTTTTGTAGAGACAAGGTCTCGTTATGTTGCCCAGGCTGGTTTTGAACGTGTGGGCTCAGGCAATCCTCTTGTCTCTGCCTCCCAAAGTGCTGGGATTATAGGCATGAGCCACTGCATCCAGCAATTTTTATTTCATCACATACTGCTTTCAGTAGAGGCTGAACTAGCTTACATTCCCACCAGCAGTGTAGAGCATTTCCTTTTCTCTGCAGTCTCACCAACACATTTTTTTTTTTTTACTTTTTAATGATAGCTATCCTGACTGACATGAAGTAGTATCTCACTGTAGTTTTGAGTTGCATTTCTCTGATGATTAGTGAGGTTGAGCACTTTTTCATATGTGTGTTGGCTGCTTAGAAGTATCTGTTTGCTCACTTTTTAATGGGTTATTCATTTTTTTTCTTGTTAATTCTTTTGAGTTCCTTATAGATCCTGGATGTTAGGCCTTTGTTAGATGCATAGCTTGTAGATATTTTTTCAAATGTGGAATGATTTCTGATTACAGGCAAAGATTTGTAGAGAGGTGACATTTGAGCTGGGTATAGAAGGTGAGTAGAGCATAGACAAGTGAAAGGGGGACTGGGAATGCCAGGCAGCAAACTTAGCATGAGCAAAGGCCTGGGAGTGGGAAGGGTTGAGTAGGGGTGGAGCCCAGGGCAGTAGCAGCATGGGAACAACCAGGGACAATAGGGCCAGAGCAGAGGTCAGGGCTCCCACTGAGGACTGCCAAGGTCTGATGGCAGTGTTCAGTACTTTTTCTGTCCAATGGTGATAGTGAATGCTTTCATGTAGGCTGTGGGCAGCTACAGGAAATCTTTTGAGCAGGTTTGGAATACGTGTCAGCAGATCAGAGGGACACCAGTTCAGAGACTAAGGCAGTGGCCCAGATGGGAGATGGTTGACCTGGGTTGGGGAGAAGAGACAGATATGGTGCTTTGCAGGGTTGGCACTGGTTTGAATGCAAGAGGAGGGTGAGAGCCCCAGATTCCCAGGCACAGTGTTTGCAAAGCACATTCGAGAAGGAAGAACCCAGAGCAGGGCAGGCAGTGAAGCCAGGCAACAGAAAATGACCATGAGGGCCTTTCTTCCAAGGTGGAGGCAAAACTGACCCCATGAGCCCTGCCAACCACAGCCAGGCTGGTCTGAGGATGGAGTGCCAAGCAGGGCTGAAGTGACAGGCGGTGAAGGGTCTGCGAGAGGGTTGGGCCATGGAAACCCCTCAGCCGTCATGCAGCCACAGTGTCTAGGTCGGGCAAGGGTGGACAACCCCAGGGGCAGAAGCTAGGGCCTTTGGTTGGCATGGGCAGTATGGCATGGGGGCCAGGAGGCTTTGCTGTCTATGACTTCCAAAGCGCTTTTTCACGTCTCATCCCATAGAAGACCTGGATGACCAGGCAGTGTCCACCTGCACTGAGGGAAAACCGAAGCCCAGAGAGGGTTGATGGTGTCATCCTTGGGCACCTTCTGGGCATGACTGGAGCTGAGATGAGAGCAGGTCCTCTTGTGCCAGGCCCTGAGTGCTTCCCGGGGCCCTTCCTGGTCCAGCAGGAAGAATCAAGGTAGAAACAATAGCAGCAATAGCAATAGAGGAGGCAGCTATTGTGACTTGGGATACACTATGTGCCAGGCTCTGTCTCCCTGTGTTGTCATGAAACCTCATACTCACCCTGTGTGCTGGGCCTTCACGATCATTTTATCATTAAGAAAACAGACTCAGAGGAGGAGTCACTTAGCTAAGGCCACACCACCAGACTGGCAGAGGCAGGAGCTGAACTTGGTTCTTCTGGGCCCCAGAGTTCACTCACCTTCTACTTTGTCACTTGGCCTTGATGGGCTGGGCTCGGGTCCAGGGTATTGGGCTCAGCTCAGTGCTTGGTATTATTCCTGCCAGGTCTCGGGTCTTTGAGGGCCTTTGGATGGGTGGGTGGCAAGGTGAGGCGAACATCTAAATGAATGAATGAATGTGTGAGTGAATGACAGCTGTCAGGTCAGCAAGCAGCTAGACCCACAGGTGTGGTCTCTCTCCTAGACCCCAGACATTTCCACCAGCCAGCCCAGCAGCAAGTCCAGCAGTGGCACCACGCCTAGAAGTCAGCAGACCCCTCAGGACCACCAGTCGAGCTCTCCTGGGAGTGCCAACATTCCAGGCTGGGAGAACGAGGGGGCCAGGAGCCCCGAACCCTTGCAGATGACCAGTGTCAACGGCGAGAAGGCCCTGGAGTCGGGCTCCAGTGGGACTCCAGCCAGAAAGGCCCCGCTCTTCAGGAGGGGTGTGAGGGGGGGCGACGTGCTGCTCATGGTAGCCAAGCTGGACCCAGACTCAGCCAAGCCAGAGCAGAGGACCCCACCCCCTGACTCCACCCCATGCAAGACCCCACCCCCACCCACAGACCCTGGAGGGGAAAAGAAAGGGGGATCCCCAGTGACTCCTTGTAACCCCCAGGCCAGCCCTGAGGATGGGGCCCCAAAAGCTGAGAAGACCTGGACTGCGGGTCTTGGGGACCCAGGCCGAAGGACTGTGCTACCCACAAAAGGCGACAAGGATCCAAGCATGGGGAAGAAGGGGGGCACCATCCCCCACACCAAAGGGCCGAAAGGGGGTGAGCCCCAGGGCACAGATAGGCAGGGGACCAGGCCTCAAGCCCCAGAGCTCAGTGAGGAGGGAGGGCGACGGGAGGCAGTGGAGAAAGAGGGAGGGGACCCCTCAAAGCAGGTGGAGAAAGGGAGGGTCTCCAAGGATGCAGGGAGTGAGGGGAAAAGTGGAGGGTCCCAAATCCAAGGGAGGAGGTGGGGAGGCTTCCTGGGCAGGAGGAGTAAGTGGGAGGGTCTCCAGGGTAAGAAAGACAGAGCAAGTGAGCTCTCAAGGAAGGCAGAGAAGAGAGAGGGGTCCCCGGCCCAGACTAAGGCAGAGAAGACAGTGAAGACGGGCCCAGCGCAGGGCACAGTGGGGCATGGGCAGGCTCCCAGGATGGTTGAGAAAGCAGGTGAGCTTCAGAGCAGGACCAGGGAGGCAGGAGAGCCCCAGGACAAGAAAGAAGAGGTGGGACAGCCTAAGGGGAAGTCTGGGGAGGCAAGTGGAGCTCTGAGTACTGCAGAGAAGGGCGGGAAAACCCCTAAGGAGGTGGGAACGAGTGGGGAGGTGCCAGCAGTTGCTGGGCAGGGGGTCCGGCTGGGAAGCCTGGGACCCATGGCAGAGGAACCCCGCACAAGGGCAGATGGCAGGGCAGGGACCCTGGAGATGGGGCTGGAAGGACGCCACCAGCCCGCCCTGGAGAAGGATGCAGAAAGGCCTCAGACAGAGAGCCAAGAGGGGTCAGCCCCGCAGGAGGGGAGCCTAGGAGGCCGGAGCGGAAACTCAGACCAGGTGACTGAGGTGGTCCAGCAGTGGGGAGGGACCCATGGGCCTCTGGAAAGACTTGCTCCACGGGCAGGCAGGAAACTGGAGAGGGGTGGTCTGACCCTGGAGAGGGGGGACCAGCCCTCCCTCCTTGATGAGCAGACAGCTTGAGGGCTCCCGCTGCGTCTGCCCTGGGACAGAATTGCCCCGACTGAGGCAATGTCCCCAGAATGTGAGGCATCCACCTCTTCGGGGCTGACATGGTTGAGCTTACTTCAAGGTCAAACGACAGTTCTTCAGTGGGGGTGGGGCCTGGAGAGAAGGTCGCTAAAAATGGAGATTCCTGGAACCCACCCTAGAGACCCCCATTCAAAAGACCTGGGTTGGGTCACCGCCATTTGCATTTAAATAAGAGGGCCCCAGACTACACTGAGATACACTGGAATGGGTGTGCCCTCCACACAGCGGGAAGGTGTCATTTGCTGGTTGAATTGATGTGATCTTTGCTCTCAGGCTCCCGAGGACAGATGGTATGAGGCCGAGAAAGTCTGGCTGGTTCAGAAGGACGGATTTACTCTTGGTAATCAGGGGGTTAGCGCCATCTGAGGGTCTACGCCTTCTCTTCCAGCGCCCCCTACTGCTGCTAGCCATACATGCAGGGTCCTGCTTCCAGTCTGGGGGGAGGAAGGGGAGGGACACCGTCTTTCAAAGGCATTCCGGCCTCCATGAGATGAGGAGTTAATCAACTCCTGGTGTCCATCCATGCCACAAGCATGTTTGTGCCTACTGTGTTCTTCAAGGACTTCAGCGTCTGGGGCAAGTAGGCAGATAGACTTCATCTCAGGAGCCCACTTTGGTGGATTCGTTTTGCCTGATGATGGCACTCTACTGAGTGGTGTGATTCCGAGTCTCAGTCAGAAAACAGCTGGAAGACTGATCGATTGGTGATGTCTGTCATGTAACCTGCATGCCATAATTGGCCACCCTGGCTTGGGTCTGTGCTGGGTCAGTGTACCCAAACGTCAGGGTGCCTATTCTGTGCCTGCCACCATGCTGGCTGGTAGAAGCCCAAGGAAGTCAACCTCTGCCTGTCCCGAAAGGGTTTGGGAGTCACAGTTCAGAGTCCTCCAAAGATGTAGCCCCTTTCTCACCCATCCCAAGCCCCCTCTCCCATTCTGGCCTGGCTCAGAGCCTCTGGCATCTCTTCCTTTCCCGTCCTCTCTCCTTCTCTCTCTGTGATGTCCAACCAGCAACGGTGCTAAAGCCAGACGAGGGAACAGCAGACCTGCCAGCAGGAAGGGTACGGCTTTGCATTGATGCTGACAAAACCATCACCGAGGTGGATGAAGAGCATGTTCATCGGGTGAGCTCCCCGGACCCCCACCTCTGCAAGAGACGTCCTTGTACCTGCCTGCAGGCAGCACTTTGGCTTGAAGCCTTGGAGGGAGCTCTAGGGATGAGCCCTGCTGAACTCACTGCTCTGCTGAGGGCCTTGCTAGGGGCTCAATCACTCCGTCTTATGGGGTCCTTTTTACGAGGACACATTCAGCAAAATGTTTGTCAGGTCTTGGCACCAGGAGGGGAGTTCTGACTGACCCAAGAAAGTGATTGCTTTCGTTTTATGAACATAGTAAATCATGCTACAGAGATAGCATGCTTTCCTTTTCACTCTGGCTGCCAGGGACTTTGCAGCCAAATTTGCTGCTTGCCATTATCCATGGCATGGGTTCCAGTGGCCTGTGTTTTGGATATTAACCTTTCTTTTAGTTTTGCATTCTCGGTTGTTTTGAAAACATTTTTGTTGGGCGCCCTAAATCCTTTGGAGGACAAATCAGAATATAATGATGAAAAAAAGTCCTGCCCTGTCCCTTTCCACCCTTCACAGCTACTGATGGAGAGGATTGTTCCTCCTCGCTCGTCTGTGTTCCTCTCTGCCCGACTCAGGCCCTCCCCTCCACTGATGTTGGGAGTTTGTGGGGACTCAGTGCCCTTGGAAGACAGGCTGACCCAAAACAGAGACCCACCCAAGGGCATCAGGCCCAGAACACTCCCTGCAGCTGGGAAGGCTGGCAGGAAGCCCCTAGAATGGAGGTCCAAGGGGCAGCTGCAGCTGTGCCTTGTTTCCTGTAGGGGTTTGGGTGGGTTTCCAAGGGGTCTTTTCATGATAGGGTTCAGGTGAACAAGTCGCTTGGGCAGCTGCTCCATTCCTGGGTGTCACAGAGCACACTGAGGGCTCCCAAGATCCCTAAAATGAGCGGGTGGCCATGGATGCTGGCACACCTCAGAGTGTCCCATCTTCGTGTGCTGACTGAGGTGAGGGCGCCCAGGTGTGGCCGAGCCTGTCTTGGGGCTTCGCCTCCCAAGGCAGGAGTGAGGAAGGACAGGGCAGAGGGAAGAGGGCTGCCTCTCAGCTTGCATGAGGTCGGGGAGGAGGGCTGGCCCTATTTAGCTGTCAGCTTTCATCACTCCCCCCAGAGCCCTGGCGTCCTCATGTTTCTCCCTGGCCTTTGCACAAGGCTCTTGGCAAGAACGGGCTCACCGTGTGTGTGTGTGTGTGTGTGTGTGTGTGTTTGTGTAGGGGGTGGTGCAGGGGCCAGGACCCAGGGGACACTTTCTGTGATGGTCTGCAGGCCAACCCCCCGGAGCTGGACCAGGTCGAGGACCTGGCCTCTCTCGTCAGTGTGAATGAATCCAGCATCCTGAACACGCTTCTGCAGCGCTACTGGGCCCAGCTCCTGCACACCTGCACCGGGCCGAATCTGGTCGTCCTCCAGCCCCCAGGACTTTCGGTGCCCTCTACAGGGAAGGTGAGGTGGGACCATGGGGGCCAGGACTGGGGGGCAGCGGTAGGAGGGGCTGGGGTTTCCTTCTTCATCTGAGGGGACAGAGGAACCACCAGAGCCCCCACTTGTCTGGGGGTAGCTTCCTGCTCGTGGAGACCTGGATATCCTGGGGCATCGAGGACCCTGTGGTCCCCCACTCCCTAGAGGGGAAAAGATGAATCTGTTAGAAAACAACAGCGATATCAAAGATACTCAAAATCATGAGAGAATATTGAGTATGAACTCTGCCAGACCCTGCTTCGAGCACCTTCATGTATTCACTCAATTAACTCTCACATCCACCTGAGAAAACAGCTGCTGTTTGTTAGTAGCCCATTTCACTGATGAGAAAAGCTGGCTGTGCCAGGTGAAGCCAGTCACTCCTCCCACGTTTAGCATGCACGAGACCCGGTATCAAACCCAGGTGTCCCCACTCCTCTGTGCTCCTCACCCCATGCTGATCTTCAGGAAGTCCCGAACACTCACATCCACAGGGAAACAGAAGCTTCGGTTCTGCTTTTATTCCTGGGAGGTGGTAGAAATGGCCCGTTTTTGTCCTGATGAGCAAGAGCCAAGGAAAAAAGGATACAAGGGGTGCCAGAAACATGTATCCACATTTTAAGTATGGCTGCTCAAAAGATGGCATTAATCAGGTGGATGCTGGTGTCATCATGTGTCAGGCAAGGGAAACGGCAGAAGCAGGTTGAGCAAGTGTCACACTACCCATTGCTACGGCAATTTAATTCAACTTCAAAAAGTAATACATAGGTATCAGCTCTCAAAATGTGTAAGCCATTTTTTGGCACCTCCTGTATATGCAGCTCTGCGCCGCCTGGTGGACAGACGAGGCACCTGGCCCCAGCCAGAGAGCACGTTTCTGCCTTTGTGCAACAGAAACCAATTGAGCTCTGGTTTGAGGGTGTCCTGCATGCCGGCTCAGAGGGAACAGCAGGGAAGGCCACAGGCGAACAAGGCTGCCCTGAGGTGCTTCCATCCTAGGGAGAGAAGCCAGGCCTTAGACAGTAAAGATAATCGTAACTGGGGGAGGTGCATGGAGGAGGCGGCAGGTGAGGTGGGGAGAAACCAGTCCGGGCCATGTCAGCTCTTACTCTGAGCAGGATGGCAGCTGCTGGGGATTTTTAGCAAGGCAGCAGCACATCTGACTTAGGTTAGACAGAGGTCCCCTTGGCTTCTGGGCCGAGGATAGACAGAGGAGGCGACCTAGGGTAGGAGCGGGGATGTCTCACCCATGTGCTGCTGAGGAATAGAGGGAAGACACGGGCCCTGAAACTCCCCGTGCCTTGGAAAGACCACCAGGCCTCGCTGGCCCCGGGTTCCTCCTCTGTCAACTGGGAATGAAAAGCCACATCGTGCCTTCTGGACCCTCATGGGATGAAGCCCTCCCTCGTCCTTGAAGGATGCTAAACCCCTCAGGGAGGAGACAGCGGGCCCACACCCGTCTCCCTAAGACTATCCTCCTCCAGGGTGACCCCACTCAGTCACTCACGGGCCTTGCCCATCATGGCTGCCCATGACCTGGAAGACCCTCAGGAGCTCCAGGCGGCCCGGACTCGGCTCAGGGGCCCCTCCTCTCCTCACTGCGAGTACTTAGGCCTCTGTGACTGCAGCCCAGGCCTCGGAGGGACTCCCTGGCTCCTGGGAGCCCCGGAAGGAAGTTCTGCAGGTCCCCACGGCAAGCAGGTCCCCCATCACCCTCCGGGACGGAAGCATCAGAGCTCAGGCGCCGGACTCACCCTGAAGGCGGGCCCCTCGCGCCCCTCCCAGCCCTGGAGTGGGGCACTGGGCCCGGGTTCCCCCAAGGCCCCCAGCCTCCCTCACGCACCCCATCCCACGGCCCCCCACCCTCGGGCCGCGCCAACGTGCGAGTCCCCGAAGGGTCACCAGGTGGCAGCACAGGCCGCGGCGGGGCAGGGACTGATCCACCTTGGGGCGGGCTGAGCCCGG